ATTGTTGCCTTTCCCCGACACCACCATCTTCCTCCCCTCAGCCCTCTCACCAAAACCCCTATCATACCTTATCCGTTTACTCTGCCAATCATCGGCCATCGATACCTTTTGGGCCGTGACTTCTCAAGCCTTTTCTTATCAATCTTGGTATTAGAAATCACCCATTTCACCACCCATCACTTCTCCAACATCTACTCTCCAAAACCCCCCACCAACCTAACCTTGTTAGCCTACCGATTGCTGTCCACCTCTCCTAGTGATTTTTCATCTCGAAAGGCAAAAAAAAAAAAAAATAAAAAAAAAAAATAATTTTTTAATATATGCTTATATTGTTAGAGGGTCCCAAAGTAACTCTTGCCTAGGGTCACAAATGTTCTAAAGACGACCCTGACTCCCACGCACTCACATCATCACCCGTTGAGATTCTTGAAAACGAGAACGTCTTATTGGAACCTTCCAAGGAGGGGCGTTGTTGGACTGAGCTTAAGAGTAGTGTGATGCTTAAGTGGGGTAATGGGAAGGAAGTTCCTCAGAAATGATGAGATAGAGAAATTAGACAATGAAGAAGAAGATGTACAGTTAGATTGGTCCGCTAAGAAGATGAAGGAGAGTCGGAAGAGAAAGCGTGCGGCGCACATGTTTATTATAGGCATGACAATGGGACGGGGATCTCATTCACCGTACTCATCTCTGTCCTCAAAATCACTATCCACCCTTGCATCATCCTCGTTACGGGGATGACAAGAATTCCCCTTCCCCGTCCCAAAGGGGAATATTGGAGTTCCGTCCCCACCGCATTAATTTTATATAAACACAAATTAATTTGAGTATTACCAAACACAATAGTTAATTCTCGCCCACATGACAAACACTTAAATTAATCATTTAAACATAATTAATTATATATAAATATGAATCAAGCTTTGTTCTCGTTCAATTGTTTAAGGTGAGAGAAATTAGGAAAATATAAGTTTATATAGGTAGAATAATTGTGTAATTAAGTGAAATATAGGAATATTAGTAAAAAGTATATATATATATATATATTTTTTAATTTTTTTTTAAATTTTATATATTATATACAAGCCCAGGGAAAGGCATCACCCACCCTGCCCCATCCCCGAGCCGCCCCATCCCCTATCCCCAAAAAACCGGGGCTTCCCGCCCCGTTCTAGATGGTCGAAAGAGAGGTATAAAATGGCAGAAGTGAACATGTCGAAGATATTGAAGGAGAAAGAAGCGGTGTTTGGGAAGCCGATATTGAGGCCGGCGTTGAGATCGGAGGCGAGGAATTGATTGGCGATACCGGTTTGTTCCATCATTTGTTGAAATAACATGTCGGCAAAGGTTTCGAAGGAGGCATAACGCCGACGGAGCAATGGAGTACTGGTTGGAGAGCGCTGACTTGGTTGATTTCGGAAAGAGGCCGGAGTTGAGGATCCTCATTGGATTCTACCGCCGGGTTGGAGCCTTGGTGATAATCTGACTCAGGATTCTGTTTGTGCCGTGGAGTTCAAGCTGCTTAAGGAAGCCATGGCCAAAATGGAAAGGTTACTGCCCGCTTGCAGCTTGTTAATTTCCTTATAACAAATTGATGTTGAATAATACTACTGTATCTGTGTTTTGTTTGGAAATCTACAGGAACATGCAGGAGCTCTTGTTTAAGAAGCAGGAGGATGATGTGGCTATTGTGAACACTCAAAGTTCTTGTAATACGAGTCAGAACTTTGATCATGACAACTTCTTGCTTCCATTGAAGGTAAATGATTAACTAGTGAACAGTGGATTTAATCCCCAAAGTGTTGTTGATCTTACTCTTTAGGTGTTTGTTTTGGCAGGAGATGTATACAAATTTGATGAATAAAAAAGCTAAGATTAAGGAACAAATGATGGAAGTTTCACATTCTCTTTGTGAAATGGAAGTATTCAATTATTAAACCTTCAATTTGTTATAAGGAAATTAACAAGCTGCAGGCACGCAGTAACCTTTCCATTTTGGCCTCTTTCCGGCAGAAACAGGATCCTTAGTCAGATTATCACCAAGGCTCCAAGCAAGCAGTAGAATCCAATAAGGATCCTCAACTCCGGCCTCTTTCCGAATATCAACCAAATCTGCACTCTCCAACCGGTACTCCATTGCTCCGTGGAACCCAAAAATCTGCGGCAGTGGAACCCAAAAATCCACACCTAACCCGAGCATTTTGGTTGGTTTTAACTTTTTAACTTTTAAGTAACAAAAATCCAAAACTGAACTGAATATATATTTGACGGTCATCTCAATGCTCTAACATCCATATTAATATGAGCCAAACTTTGTTATGATATTACACTTATAATTTAATTTTATAAATTTTTTTTTACAACCTCAATATAGAAGTTCACAATAGATCTCGTTTGTCTTAGTCATATCTATCCAAATATAATCTGACCAATTACAAACTGTTATATCAGAATTGTAAGAAAAAAATTATAAAATTAGATTATAAACCAATACTTATTATATGACATTTTGAACTTAACTTTATAACATTTTAATGAATGAACAATCAAACCCTTGAGACATACTGCAACCCAGGTGACAAAGAGTTAACATTGAAGTGCCAAACCTTCCTATCAATGTAAAGCTTTTGGAAAAGATCAATTTATTATTCTTAGAATAACTTTTATCTATTGAGCAACATCCCTGTCACTAGACACGATCGGATTATTAAGGCAAATTTTCAAACTTTCTCGAGGGTTTACTCTTCAACCCATAGACATTGAATTGAAAAGTGCATTTTAAATTAATTTATCATGAATTAATATTGTTGTTGTAATCACAAAATTATATTGTTAGAATTATATTGGTATTATTATTATCATGCAAAATGGGTAACACATATTGCTCTTCATTTTCTTCATGCAAAATGGGTAAAGATTAGATATGGGTAGCTAACGATACGTATCAGAGAGTGTATCTTAAACCTTTTCGATGCGTTGATATGTATTCTACGATATGATACGTATCCCTAAAAATATTGATACAACTTTATTAATTTGGGCCAAAGATCCAAAAAAAATTGGGTCAGATTCGAGTCACCCAACCCAATTCACTAAAACCTATCCAATTTTACCCATTTTGCATGGGGAAAATGAAAAGGAATATGTGTCGCCAATTTTGCGTGATAATAATAATACCAGTAGAGATATATATATTGACATTGATCTTAAAAATGATATAAATGGTTGAGAGAAAATGATATAGATTCTTAATTTTGTGATTAATTTTGATTATGTAATACCATAATTTAAAGTCAATAATATCACACAATTTTTTAATTAATCATTGGAATGATATTAATTTTTAGAAAAATTTTATTATTTTATTAATTTTTTTGAAAAAGACGTACATACCACTTGAAAAATTAGATTTTTATTATACAATGCGAGTTGACAACCACTTCTACCTATAACCTCTTGGTTGATTCCAAAAGTCTATGCCACTTAACCCAACCCTTGAAGTCAAACTGAGTTCAAAATAAATCAAGAAGAAAGAAAAAAATAATTGTAGGACACTCTGAAAAGAAAAAAAAAAAAAAAACAAAACAGGTTCTAATGGTAACTTGGCTCTTATATTGTATTTAGGGTACATTTGGTTCAGAGAATGTTGGATTATTAGGAATGTTGGATTACTAGAAAGTTAGATTACCTTGAAGATTACTGAAAATCTTTAGGAAAATATGTTTGGTTAGTTGGTGGGTATGTTATATTAATATGTTTGGTTAGGAGGAATAAATTTGTGGATATGTTATTTAAATTACTGAATTGTCCTCTAATTAAATCTTATTATTATATTATTTTTTAATATTGATTATTGTTTGGATTATTATAACCCCCTTGCATTTAAAAACTTGGCAAAACAACCCCATAATGAAAGTTTGGAAAATCAATAAAGCACCCCCACCAACCTAGCCACTGCCGGCCGCCAACAACCACCGCAGGCCAATACAGCCAGCAACCTAACGGCGCACGGAAGGCAAAAAATAGTCTCCGTGCGCCATATGGCCATTTTCGACCAAAGATTTGGCCGAAAATGGCCAGATCATGACAGATCTGGCTGTTGACGACTAGAGCCATCCATCTGGCCGTTGACGGCCAAATCTGTCACGATCTGGCCATTTTTGGCCTTCCATGCGCCGTTCTGATGGCGGCCGCGACGGTGGTTATCGGCGGCAAGTGGGTGGGGGTGATGACTTGGGTGGGCTGCAATTTATTTTGAATTCAAGGGTAATTTTGTCCCAAAAGTTAATTAATTGGGGTGAAATGATAAAAGTCATATTCATGTAAATAAATTTAAAAATAAGGGCATTATTATCCTAAAATTTTATTAATAAAGGATAGAATTGTAACAAAGAAATATTACCCTAGTAATATTAGAATACCTAAGAAAATAGAGGTAATCAGATTACTTCTCATATTATCAATAGTAACTACTATTGGTATTTGAAGATTACCAAAATCTTATATTATTTAACAATCAAACATAGTAATCAAGTAATACAAGATCACATAACTTCAGTAATCCTATATTACCCCCAACCAGACGCTCATGCAAGATGGTTTTTCAATTTAAGAACTTTGATCTTATTCTTGAAAAAAGGTTAAAAGGATATAGTTTGTCTTTTACGATTTACTTATAAAAGACAAGAATAAAAAGAATAAATTGAAATCCGCAAATACAGTTCTCTTTTTGGAAGATACTTTTTCAAGTAATTAATGACTATTTCATTGTTTTTACTGCATGCTATTTCGTATTATTATTATCTTCGTTTTCAATTTCCTGTTGTTTGATTAATATTGTCACTTCCATTGCCCAGGATCAAACAGTTGAGATAATTCTGGATAAATCTTTAAAGTTATTTTACAAATATAGTCTCATAACTTTAAAAGTGATTTCTGGTCATTATCAGTAATTACAAAAATGATGCAATACCCAAATTGAAATGGTAAGAAATTTAGACTTATATTCTCAAAATTGCTTTATTTAAATATATAACATCAAGCTTAGATTCACTATTCTTATTGAATACATTAATACAGAAATTGAATGGATCTCTTTCTAATTTAAATGTATAAGGATATATGCGATGACTAGGGGATCAGGCCTACCATCTACTTGAGTCTCCTTGAATTATAGATTACAACAAACCTGTGTAACCCATCTATAGCTTAGAATATACATTTGAACTATTGTTGGGAATGTCTTCAAGGTTGATGTAACGAGAAAGTGCAGTTGTGAGCTTCTTTATATCATCTGTAGTATGCACTGCAGTTAGAGTTACTCGTAACCTGAAAAAGTAAAAGGAAAGTAGGCAATCGGCAAAACATTTTCGATACAAAAATATTACAATAAAACTGACAATGTTTTCAGACATCAGCCCAAGTTGGTCCAATCTTCGACAACATATAGAATATAATAAGAATCTCCGTGGATTTCTTTAATAAGTTCAGAGTTTTCTAGACGTATTTTCAACATGTTCTATTTTTGGGTTGATGGATGAACAACTTTGCTAAACTGAATACTGAATATGATCTAACTCTAACACGAGCCATTGCCAGTTAGTTCAGTGTGTGAGACAGAAGACTAAAGGAATCTAAGGTATATCGTTAACCCACACATGTTTTGCATATGTTTGAAAGCTACATCTACTATTGTAAGTTACAGTAAAGTATTTCCACCATGCATTATTTACGAGGATCTAAATGGACAATTTTGGGGCAAACCAAAATTGTTCTACATATGAAAAGTTGTCAGACAATATCCACAACCGTTTTAGGCATATTAGAGGGAACACTTGGGAAATACAACCACACCATATGGGAGTGAACATTATAGGAAAGTTGGAAAGATTCATGCAACTGAAACTAAGTTAGACATGTTAACAGAAAGTATAAAAAGTATTATAAAGGAACTGCAACAAACCTGCATGAGTTGGAAGGGACTGTTGGCGGTCTGATTGCAGTCACATGGAAACCAGATTCTAAGAGATGCCTGCTCCATAAAATTGAAACAGTATGAAGCTGTTGTAGCTATGGCCTTAAGCACACAAACCAGAAAAAGCTGAGAGAGGAGAGGAGATACCTGCTAGCTAGAAGGGCCTTCTCTTCACTCCCTACAATAAGAGATATAATGGGACTTGAGATTCGGATTCCAGTAAGAGCATGAAAGTCCTGAACCCGGTTCCAAATAGCCCTTCTACGCCATGTTTCCTTTTTTGCCACAATAACAGCAGCTGCTAAGTCATACTTGCTTTGTCAACAACAGAAAATACCACAATAATAGGTACTTGCTAGACACATAAGATGCCCTGAGACATCATAAAATACATTTCTTGCAACGTAAAGGATTTACTCATTTTTATTTACCATTTTGTAACGGGACAATTGTACCACAAACAGACTCTTCATGCAACATTTCTTGCCCCCGAACCAAACTCAATTTGGAATAATTATTCAACTCTCTTTGTCATTGGAACTCACCTCTAGTGGCAAAACTGGTTATAACCACAACAATTCATCATGCGATTGCTTTACCTTTTAAAACATCTTTTCACATTCCATAAGTGCTAGCACTCATAAATGGGAAACTAACAAAGACAATCCAAGAAATGTTATTCAACTAATTTTCTTTAAATAAACTCAAGGAAAAATATTGTCTGTACCATGTGCGGCAGCAGCAATGGGAATTGGTGCAGAAGTTGAAAATATAAAAGAACGACCCCTAGATTGTATGAACTGCTTCCACCTTTTGCTGTATAGAAAGATTCAGAATAGCTGTAAGTATTATACATATCTTGACCATCATCATATAAATATAGTACATGTGCACATAAGATACTCTTCATAGCAAACAAGAAAATGCAAATCATAAAATGTGTCAGTAACTATTTTGTGCAAAAATCAATAACTTTCAAGCTATGTCCCACCGAAAGAAAAAAAAAATAGCTTCATCAATCGGCAAAGAAGCAGTCAACCAAAATTTTGAAAGTAGATATCTTGTACTGTTCGTATCAAAGAAACGAATTACATTCCATCATCCTTGATCCTACAAAAACCTTCAATACGTTTTACTCTCAAGCTAAAATGGCTTCTGCTTCTGTTGATCTACCAACAAAGGAAACATGTAAACTCAAATTGGGGGAACTCATGAAATTTTTGTTAAGCATTAAGTTGATTTAAAGTCGTTCTTTCTAAGCAATTTCATTGCACTTGTTTTTGTAATAGTTTAACATAGGATGTCTGTAGACACTGCAACAATATGGTAGGCAATTCTTCAATCACCAAAAGTGAAAATTTGGAAGGAACTCTATTGAAGTGCTAAAATAACCTTGTTAAGGCCTACATTCGAGCAAAAAAGCACAATGTAAGGGAATTGTTCTGCTTTCTGTTCTTAACAGAACAAAAAGGGCCAGGTTCTCGTAATTACCTGCATGCTATGAAACCACCATGACAACCTGCCGCCTTACTCAGAGTGCCAATGCATATGTCTACATCTCTTTCGCAATTGAATTCCTCAGCCACTCCCCCACCACTTTTGCCACAGACAAATGTTCCATGAGCCTGAAAATACTTAAGGAATAGTTACTTGGCGCTAGCATACACCTGAAGCTAATTTATGAAGTAGATACCATCTTGCCCTATGCCATACACTAAAATTTTGGACAAGCGTTTTAGCATATTAAAGAGAGGAAAGATAATATATATATATCAACTGAAAAATGATTTATTGAAGAATCAATCTAATTAGAATAGTTTTTGAAAAACTGAAATGTTAGACCTTTTTATGTAGCATAATTTAAAGGCTTTAAGTGTGCAAGAAATAAACGAGTATGTAGTCCAATTCCTCAACAACTTCATGTAAAAGACAAACTCATAACAGTTTCTTTAAGTGCTAAATTCTTGAACATTTTCTTTTACGCCTAGAAATACCCCCAACCTTTCTTAAATTTTCATGAATTTTAGACTGGGGATTACAAGAAACTCATTGGATGTATCCAAGTAAGTGCTTTGGAGAATGTTTTACCCCTAACCTCTTGGTTGATTCCAAAAGTCTATACTGCTTAACCCAACCCTTGAAGTCAAACAAGTTCAAAATAAATTAAAAAGAAAAAAAAAAAGTGTAGAACACTGGACCATCAAGACAACTTACATCATCTAAGACTAACAAAAAGCCATATTTCTTGCGAAGCTTCACAAGTTCAACCATTGGTGCAAAGTCTCCATCCATACTAAACAAGCTGCAGAAAGAAGAGAATTAAGCACATCGTCGAGAAAATATGCCAGAAATTAAAACATCAGGATTTTCAGCAGTAAAAACATTAATAAATAAATAAATAACACAACATATAAACATAGTAATACCAGCAATCTGTCAAACATATGGTATATTAACAAAACACCTAGCAAATATTTTCAAAAGACTAGTTGAAGTCACTCAAAGGACTGTGAACCACATAGCAGTAAATTTTCCTAGACAAGATGCAAAATATCCACAGTGTAATACACTAATTAAATGGTGTCAGCCATGTATCCGAAGTTTACAATCTTATTAGGAGATTTAACACAATATGAAATTACAGCATGAAAATTTGGAATAAAAATGAAGATGCAGGTCCAAACAGACTATGCATCACACACAGCAAGATTCACAATTACCAGGCTTGTTACTTCCACCTTCAAACTAAGAGAATCCTAAGTTAAGGCATGGAACTAAATGGAAATATATTAATTCAACTCATGCTTAAGCCTTGTGGGTGCTTGAGGCTCACACCTTAATATTTTAAAGATCCAAATGTCCACCTTACATTTTTCCGCAAGATCACGAAATAACCTAAAGTCCAAAATACCATCCCTCCAAGTTTCCTTTAGCTTTCCCTCAAAATGGTCCTACAAATATCTAACACATATTTTTAAGCAATCTAGTAGATGGATTAAATGGATGACCCTTTGAAATTAATTCTGTCTGATCCAACAATAAATCTTATTGCTTATTAGTATATGGAGAAAAAGAAAAAGTACAGTAAAAAGAAAAAAGAATGATATCCTAGAACAAGCATCAGACTCTGAATATTTGTGACCAACAACTATATCTATTTCTTAAGTTATCTAACCAAAGGGGAAACAAAAGCTAAGGTATTAAAGGAAGAAATTCAGAAAAGATGACTACCTGTCAGTCACAACAACTTTTTTCTTCATTGTGCAACTTGATCTGTCATAACACAAACTCATTACAGTGACAAGAACAATGGGAATAACAGATGGAACAAAAACTAATACATGGAATACTTTAAAAGAGAAGTGAAATGCTTACAACAGCGCCTTGAGGTGGGACATGTCACAGTGTTTATAGATAAAAGGTTCTACACTTTTTGTTCCCTCAGCAAGACGAATACCATCAATTATTGACGCATGGTTTAGTGCATCAGAAAAAATTGCAATTTTTTCATAATTCAAAGGTTTATCACCAGCAGCCAGGAGTGAGGCAATGCTTCCAATTGCTACCATCACAGCCATATTGGCCGCAAATCCTGTAGGACAAAGAAGACAATCCTAGAGCATGAATTGGAACAAGAATGCATCAGTTTTCAGATTACTGTAGTAAACCTCTTAGCAGCCAAATGAAAATAATACAGTAGAGAACTCCAAGAAATCTCAAAACTAATACTCTTTTTTTTTTTTTTTTTTCTTTCATTTGAGAAGCAACATATCAATATCAACGATTGAAATAATAATAAAAAGGTGAACAAGTTGTCCACAAAAAATAAGATCCATCAAAAAAATCATAGAAAAACACATACAATATAGATTGAACAGCTCAAGAAAGCTATGGACAACTCAAACATCAATACCAATGGTATTAAATTAACCAAGAACCCCTTCCCAATCTAGGTGTACAAAGATAAAAGAAGTGTTTTGGAAAACATTAGATACCGATGCCCAAAGAGAGGCAAGTAAATGAATTTTGTCCCACATAACTAATATTTTAGGAGCAAAACAATTTCATATTTTAAAATCTGTTAAACAGGCACGGGCAATAACAGTTTCTTGTGTCTGATAATGCAAAGTAAATTACACAGTTTGTTTATCATAAGCTAAAATACGAGGTCCATCAACAGGAGCCCGAAATTACAATGCATCATGTGCACTCTCCACGTGTCACGTTAGAATGTGCCATAGGTTAATATCAAAGAAAAAATCATATACCTTCAGTCAACATCTTTAACAACCTGTTTCACTAAAATGTGTCCTGTTCACTCTCTTTATGAGATTGCTCCAGTCAATGGCTCTATTCTAAGTTAAAGCATGCAAACATGACTGTAAAAACAACCATAAAGAACTTCTTCCAATAAATTCAATGCAAAGATTATACCTCCTTCTTCTTTAAATCTGCCAAGGATGACTCTAGTAACCTATGGTAATTGGTGTATCCACAGATTAAAGCAGAGCCCCTAGGGCCCATTCCATGCTCTAGCGCTGCCTAATTTTTAAAGTACAGATAAAGAAATTAGGCCTTAAAGTGAATTAGATAAATAAGAAAGGCATAAGCTTTATGTTGAAGTGACATAAATCAAGAACCAAACCTTTGCAACAGCCTTCGCAATTGTGGGATGTGAACTCAATCCCAAATAATCATTTCCAGAGAACAGAAGTAGCTTCTTGAACTGCCTAGAGCATGTGGTGGCCTTACCATTAGCTACTCCATCTCTGGAGACAATCTCATCTCCTGAAAATCCAAAAAGAAACGGTTAAGTATCAAATAAAGTACTAAGCCATGTCTCCACTCATATTGTTAATAGCCCTGTCCCAGTAAAATCCAAAGAGCAATACTAGTACATAAATCGTTCACCAATAACTATATGACAATGTTTGGTAAGCCAAATTGTACTGTAGCATTTGCAATACTATAATGAATTATTATATTGTCTCGGGTATATTTTAATCATAAAAGTATTTTTTGATTAATTTTAATAAATTATACAACCTAAACCTATTGTACAGAATTATGTATATACATTAAGTATACACGGTATTAATTAATACAATATGTATTGATTTTATTCACTATGAATATGATACGGGGCTGCTGTATAATCCTACAAAACGTTAACTAAAATCTTGGCAATATCATCCCTAAAAAACAATGGATAACAAGAAGCAAAAAAATGTATAATGAAAACCACATAAAAATATCATTAAAACCAATCAATATAAGACAAAGAAAGTGAGCAAAAGTACCAGAACTAGGAATGTCATGGAGCCATCTGTGAAAGGTGGAGTCAGAGATTGATATTTCAACGGCAGATCGATCCCAGGGTTGCATTTCATCGAACACCTCGTAATCATCGTCACGTTCTTCGATGGGTGGAGATTTTTCTTTCTGTAGTTCATTGGAGGAGACGTAAATGGGCCTTAGAGAGCGAAGCACTTTTAAAGTTTGAAGCTTTGAGAGTGCTGCTTCGACCCAGTGGTCCCATTCCCACAAGTTCGTCTCCATTTCGCAAAATGCGATGAATGAAGAACAAATGGAACAGAACAGAGACAGAGTTTAAGAATTAGAGATGAGTATAGTCGGAGTTGGCTGCTATGTATTCGAGTGTCAAATACGAAGTGGGCAGTTGCAAGTTGGGCCGATAACGGGTCCCAGTCCGGGTCCGCGTGAGGGTCGGCGCAAGTTAATGTGGAGTCAAATATTCTCACGTTGTCAATTGTCATGTACTCATGTTTGACTTGGTTTCTCGAGGGTCACTATTTTGGTTCAATAATGTTTAATTGATTTTAAATTAGTAATAAACTAAATAAATTAAGAAGGGATTATCTCTCAATATAATGTATTATCAATGACGACCAGATTTGGCCGTTTCTGACCAGATCCACAATAGATCTGGCCAGAAAAGGCCAAATTAGGTATGATCAGCTAAATCCAATTGGTCGTGCGGCATTTCGATAGATTTCGACTATCTTTCGACAATGGTGAGCGTTTGTCGATAATATGTGAGTGGGTAAAGATATTTTTATTAATTTATAAACTTTTATTGTGGGAGTGTTTAGTTAAATTAATAAATCTAAGGAATTAAAAATAATATACGGTGCGTTTGGTTTATTATTTTGGATAGGATTTTGTAAATAATATTGGATAATTGAGTAGAGTTATGATTATGAGAATATGATTTGAAAAATATATGTTTGGTAGAGTACTTTTACCTTGATATTTGTGTTGAATATTTTATTGATATATTTTTTTTATAAATGATTTATTAATATAATATTTTGGTGCATTTTGTTAAAATAATGTATTATTATATATATAACTTGTCAATTAACATTTTAATAATATTAAACATTTTATTGGTAATTTTGTCACCAGTAAATATTAAAAAACAAAAACTCATATTAATTTTAAGTACTAATCCAACTGTTTAAAAACATCACATTAATGTATATATGATAAAAGTACTAATTATCAACCCTTACAATCATTCTTACACGTATACTCCATTAACAACTACGACATGGTCCATTGTACTGCCCATAGTGCATTCATTATGTTATCCCGTATAATCGTTAAATTGTCTATAATTCCTTGCTGCGGTTGACTCAAGATGAGAAAATAAAAATAAAAATGAGAGAGAAAAAAAAAGCTGCAAAAAGTCTTAACGGTCAAATACATGATGCAGTGAAGCAGATGAGAAAATGAAAAAAAAAAATGAGAAAGAGAAAAAAAAAGCTGCGAAAAGTCTTATGGGTCAAATATATGTCAGGATCGTTTTTTCAGGATTCAATTGTATGAATAATAAGCCAAACACTATTCAAATAATCGGTTTCAGAATATGAGAATAAATAATAAGCCAAAGATGCCCATAAATATTTTCGGAAAATCCTATTAAAAAATGTATCAAAAACTTCTCAGAATCTTATCATATTTTCCAAAAATGTTAAATAGCATAGAATGCTATTCTAAATAACCAAATGGAGTCATAATTATTTAAACTTTTTTATTAGTTAAATAAAAAAATACCCAAATTTTATAAACATTTTAAGTAAGACCTCTTATGTTAATTTTTTTTTTTTTATTTTATCTCTATCTTTATCACCAAATAACACAAAATCCTTATCCTCAATATACAAGTGAAAACAAACAAAATTTCTGATTTAAGATTAAAATGTAGTAATTATTGTGGTTTTTTTTTTTTTTTTTTAAAATGATATATTGTTAAAAAACATAAAATGTCGAAAATGTGTTTTGGGTATAACAAAAACAAGAAAAGTTGTGATAATTCAAACGGAGTAGAAAATTCGAGTATAATGAACAAACTCGAGCAAGATTAAATAAATTGAAGCGCTTGAGTCTTGTAATAACCTTGCTCGAAGTGTAGCATTATTTCAGATTAATAAAAAGCATAAGAGACATATTTGATCATTTGTTGGGGTTTTTGGGTACAATGTCAATACAATTCCTATATAAAATCATACAAGCCCCTTTATCATTTCTTAATATCATTTATTTATTTATTATTTTTTTGTGACTGTAGTGTCCTGAGTCAGCTTGCGCACACATCAACTAATCTGGAGTCCATTGAACATCCTACTTTTGTGACTAAGTTGTCCGATCAACTTACGCACGTCTCGACTAATCATCGGTAACTAATCCTTAGGGTCCATTGAACATCCTACTTTTATGACTAGGTTATCCAGGTCAACTTGCGCTCTTCGACTAATCTTTAAGGTTTATTGAACACTTTACAAGAGTAATGGGTCCAGGAAGTCACAAACGTGATAGGTGACTATTTGATGGGACTCGAACACAAAATCTTTAGGTAACCTAAAGTCTTGCCATCTTGCCACAGCCAAGTAGATAACATTTATACTTGATTTGAAGAAGGTGAAATTGTGTTAGAGTTTATTCAACCTTACAGTTTATTAATATTTCCTTAAAAGTTTAACATTTCAAATATTCTTTTTTTATTTAAACAAACATGAGTTATTACAAACGTTATGTTAACCTACTTTATTGTAAATATTCATCAAAATCGAAGCTGATTGTTTTCATGCGTTTGCACATATAGGATCACAATCTTGTGTAACAAGGTCTAGATGATAACAGCAGACATAAAAGCAAACTCATTAATGGTAACATATACAATTCTTATTTTTTCATCTTGCATTTTGCTATATCTCTTGATACTATTACGAAGCTTCATACATTGCCTGTAGTTGTGGTCTTGAATGCTGCCTGTTAATGCAACTTTGCCCTTCGTAAACATCTAGAGACAATACATATATATATATATATAAGCAGCTACAGGTTGTTTATTCTTTTTGTAATCAATTAAATTGTCCTTTAATGGATCTTCTTCTTCTTCTTCCTTTTGTTTAATCAAGTCATCACATGGCATGTCTATTGCTGTATTGTTGCTACATCCTCCCTGGCTATCGCCTGAATTCATTTCTGCCATTGTCAATCTCAAAATGCATATGCTTTCCACAAAAAACCATATACACTATTATTCCATAAATGATCAATTAATAGCCAGTTGCCTTAAATTTATATATTCTGCAGGATATCTCTTCAATTATCTTAATTCTTGTATGATGTACTTGGTTCTCTGTTACTAATATCAATGTCAAATTGGTACGGAGCTAGCAGAAACCATATGCAGATCTAACATGCATGATCCATTATATTAATTATTTCGAAATAAGCATTCCTCATTATAGCCTCAAGCTTCTGCAGTTATATATACATTGCACTAAATGCTAGCTGCAGTAGCCATGTCTATCAATTTTTAGAGGTCAAAACCTTTAATGATATTTGATATCGCAAAAACTTCTGAATATTTCATTGTATACAGGCTTGTCCATCTAGCTGAATTTTTGTCTAACCTAAAGTATACAACACTGGTTTTGTTTCTTCTGAGAACAAGCAAGAACGGTTGGCTAGTTTATTAAAATTTGATGTTTGTTTGACATGGTGATAGAGATAGTCAACACTTCATTAAAATTATCTGATTAAGCTCAAAAGAAACTCTAACAAAATTAAGCAAAGTACAGACGACCAGCACACCTCCATCATTCCTGCCTGTTGCTGCCCATCTGCTTGCAAATTAAGCAACCCGTTGTTGACCTTCTTAACTTAAATAATCAAATAATTTTCTCTGAAGAACAACCAGCTGTTTCCGTTGACCTTTCACATTAACCGATACAGCCTACATTGCTAACTCTTTTCATGTGGTTGTCGGAGTATTCTGACAACGTGTAAACTCTTCTGAAACTCAATATAATAACTTATATGTAATTAATTTATTAAGCATGTGTTTCTGTTGATTTGCTAATTAATTCTTGTTTCTTTCCTGCTTTTCTTTTCACACTCTAGTAATTAATTCCAAATTTGAAGATTATAATTGAAATTTTAGGTAACCAACTACCTATAAAAGCCACCACATCCCAACTGAACAAACTACCTCAACATTTTCATATCTTGATAAATTAATTAATGGCTGAATCACAGACTACTGTGGAGCTTCCTGTACTTGATATTTCTCAGCCTTTAAGCACCTCCAAGCTCTCTGCCCTCTCCGCAGCCTGCAAAGAATGGGGTTTCTTCTATATCACCAACCAGGAGTCTCCAAAGATCTTTACAGGAAACTTCTTCCCTCTCAAATCATCTCTTCAACCTCCCTTATGAAACCAATCAAGGTTGGCCCTTTTTCATCCATCAACTTACACACCACACTTCATTGCGTCCCCTTTCTTCGAGAGTTTTCGAGTGTCTGGACCCGACTTTTCCTCTTCTGCCCAGAGTTCTGTGGAGGCTCCTCCTAAGGAACCAAATTCAGCTTCAGGTAAAAGCACGTTATACAGTTTTCTAATCTTCTTTTTATCACCGCATACTACTTGCGTTTCACGGCTACTTGAGCGCCCTTCTTTTACAAGTCAGTTTCAACGTGAATTTACTCATTGTAATTCTTACAATTGGTATCAAAACAAAACCATCTTCTAGACAAACCTTGAGGGTTTGGCACTCACTTAGGAACGCCTACCTTATCGCAAATGAGAACTAGTAACACTTTGATTTAAATTGGTTTAGATTGATTTAGATACTAATTATACGGCATGATTTAGTCATCTTTAACTCGTATTTTTCTGATAGTTGAGTGATTCTGTTTTGATTTTGTTGGCAGTGAGACATTAAAGGATATGAGGAAGATGACAGAGCTATCAAAAGCAATAGTCAGGTTGTTCTAATGAGCTTAGGCAAAGATTTTCAAAGAAATTCTATGAATCTGAATTAGCAAGTGCCATGGTTACTTGAGAATAATCAACTACTCACCTCCGGAAATGTGGTAGAAAAACAAGTTGAAGGGCTAGGGATGCACACAGACATGAGTTGTGTGGACAATAGTTTATCAAGATGAGATTGGAGGGCTTCAATGAGATCTAAAGAAGGTACATGGATGGACATAAACCCATGTGAAGACACTCTCGTTGTCACATTGGAGATTTGATGCATGCATGAGCAATGGAGGCTCAGGTCATCTGAACATAGAGTTGTTCTAAAACGTAATGCTAATAGATTTTCTTTGGCGTTCT